AGAGCAGATGGGGCCTGGTTTAATTTCTTGTACAACAATGCTATCTCTGACATTGTAGAGTGCCTACATTACTGCACTGGAGTATCGGCCTAGACAACATGCGTGAAATTTCTGGAGTGGGAAATTGAACTCTCAAGTTCTGATTCGGGGATCAAAGTGCTTCCAATTAAATCAATTCAATATTGTAGTGGATTCTCCCAGTGATTAAATGATGTGGACAATGGGACAAAAGTCGGGACAATCTGATGAGATGACCAGAGAGATTGTCCTGGGAGTCCTCCACGTTTATTCTGGACTCCATGAAGTCTCATAGCTTCAGGCAAGAAAATCTGCTGGTTACCACCCTCCCTCCGCTGATGAATCAGTACTCATTCATGTTGAACAACACTTGGAGGAAGCATCGAGGGTGGCAAGGGTGCAAAATGTACTCTGGATGGGGAATTTCAATGTCCACTACCCAAGAGTGGCTCGACAGCAGCACTACTGATTGAGCTGTTTGGGTCCTGAAAGACACAGCTGCCAAATTGGGTCCAGCAGGTGGCAATGAAACCAAGAGGAGGGAAAAGCAGACTTGACCTCATCTTTACCAATCTGCCGGCTGAAGATGCATCTGTCCATGACTGTATTAGTAAGAGTAACCACAGAACAGCCCTTGTGCAGATGAAATCCAGCTTTCACATTGAGAATAACCTCCATCATGTTGTGTGGCACTATGATAATGTTAAATACTGACTTCAAACAGATCTAGCAACTCAAGACTGGGCGTCCATAAGGTGCTGTGAGCCATCAACAGTGGCAGAATTCTACTCTAACACAATCCGCAACCTCACGACCCAGCATATTCCCCATTTGACCATTGCGACGAAACTAGGGGATCAACCCTGGTTCAATAAAGAGTGCAGGAGGGCATGCCAGGAGCAACACCCGGTATACCTAAAAATGAAGTATCAACCTGGCGAAGCTACCAAGCAGGACTACTTGCATGCCAAGCAGCAAGTGGTAGACAGAGCTAAGTGAGCCCACAACCAAAGGATCAGATCTAAGCTCTGCAGATATGCCACATCCAGTCGTGATGTGTGGTGGACAATTAAACAACTCACTGGAGGAGGTGCCACAAATAGTCCCATCCTCAAATGATGCAAGATCCTAACACAAAAGTACAAAGGATAGGGCTGAAGCATTCGCAGCAATCTTCAGCCAGAAGTGCTGAGTGGACGATCTATCTCAGCCTCCTCCAGTGGTCTCCAGCATTAAAGATATCAATCTTAAGCCAATTCGATTTACTCCACGTGATGTCAAGAAACGGTTGGAGACACTGGATACTGCAAAGGCTATAGGCCCTAACAACATTCTTACAATAGTGCTGAAGACTTCTGCTCCAGACCCTGCTGTTCCTACTAGCTAAACTCTTCCTGTACAGTTACAACACTGGCATCTACCCGACAATGTGGAAAATTGACCAGGCATGTTCTGTACATAAAACGCAGGACAAATCAACCCAGCCAATTACTTCAGTCTACTCTTGATCATCTGTAAAGTGATGGAAGGTGTCATTAACAGTGCTATCAAGCAGTATTTCCTGAGCAGTAACCTTCTCGGTGATGCTTAGTTTGGGTTCGCTGGGGCCACTCTGCTCCTGATCTCATTACAGACTGGGTTCAAACATGGATAGAAGAGCTGAATTCCAGAGGTGAGGTGAGAGTGACAGCCCTTGACATCAAGGCTGCAATTGACCGAGTTTGGCACCAAGGAGCTCTAGAAAAACTGGAAGCAATGGGTATCAGGGGCAAACTGTCACTTGCTTGGCATCATACGTGGTAAATAAGAAGATGGTTGTGGTTGATCGAGGTCAATCATTTCAGCTCCAAGGTATCTATGCAGGAGTTCCTCAGGGTAGTGTTGTAGGCCTGACCATCTTCAGCTACTTCATCAATGACCTTCCATCAATCTTAAGGTCAAGAGTGGGGATGTTGCCAATGATTGCCTAATGTTCAGCAGCATTAGTGACTCCTCAGATACTGAAGCAGTCCGTGCTCAAATGCAACAAGATCTGGACAATATTTGGGCTTCGGCTGACAAGTGGCAAGTAACGTTCATGTCACACAGATGCCAAGCTATGACCATCGCCAATAAGAAACAATCTAACCACCGCCCTTTGACATTCAATGGTATTACCGTCACTGAATCACCCACTATCGATATCTTTGGGATAACCATTGACCAGAAACTCAGCTGGACCAGCCACATAAACATAGTGACTACAAGAGCAGATCAGAGTTTAGGAATACTGCAGCGAGTAACTCGTCTCCTGACTCCTCAAAGCCTGTCCATCATTTACAAGGCACAAGTTAGGAGTGCGATGGAATACTCCCCACTGTAGTGGATGGGTGCAGCTCCAACAACACCTAAGAAATTAGATATCATCTAGGATAAAGCAGCCTGCTTGATTGGCACCACATCCACAAACATCCACTCCTTCCACCACCAACACTCAATAGCAGCAGTGTGTATTATCTACAAGATGCACTTCAGAAATTCACCAAAGATCCTCAGATAACACCTTCTAAACTAATGACTACTTCCATCTAGAAGGACAAAGACAGCAGATACATGGGAACATCACCATCTGCAAGTTCCTCTCCAAGACGCTCACCATCCTGACTTGGAAATATATCACTGTTCCTTCACTGTCGATGGGTCAACATCCTGGAAATCCCTCCCGAACAGCATTGTGGTCAACCCACAGCAGCGGTTCAAGAAGACAGCTCACTTCCACATTCTCAAGGACAACTAGGGATAGGAAGTAAATACTGGCCAGGCAGCAATGCCGTCATCCCATGAATGAATAAAAAATGGCCTGAGTTCTGTCTTCCAAAGCAAGTTCTCTTCAATCAGCTCAAGGAAGGCACTCAAATGAGAGGAGGACAAAGGAAGCGTTTCAAAGAACCCCTGAAGGCTACCCTGAAGAAATGCAACATACATGTCAATGCATGGCAAAGCTTTGTTCAGAAGAAATCGACTTTGAGGAAATTCTTGTATGAAAGGACAGGATTCTTGGAGAACAACCAACAGCAACAGTAATACAGAAAGGAACCAGACAAAGGAATGGCCACGATCTCTAGGCCAAGGACAAATTCCACCTCCTGGAAACACCTGCCAAACGTGTGGTCAGAGATGCTGCTCTAGGAGTGGGCTCATCAGCCACACAAGAACCCCAGGATCCATAGCCAGTGACTTTCCTAGGTGAACAGTCATACTGATTAGCAAGTGACTGCTGACAACAACAAGTTATCCAGGAATTAGAATAGTTAGGTTTTAATTCCTCTCATTTCTTTGGGTAACTGTTAAGATAATTCAGTCATCCCTCCAAGCTTCAATTCAGCTTTGGGACCTTTTTTTGGATTGTTCTAAATGCTGAATAATAGTCCACCATGACTTTCAACTTCCTAGGCAATACTTGCAGAGTCTGCTGCTGTGTTTGGGACTTCTACATGGTCCTGCAATGCAATTCCTATCCAGACTGCTGTGGCAACAATCTGTTAGACGATCTGAACAGTTAAATTTTGTGACAATATTATGGCTTTAAGACGTGTATTTTGTCTTGGTTTATTTTGAAGAGAGGTTTTAAGGCAGATGTAATGAGCAGTCTACCAGAGCCACTGCAGTAAGCAGCTTGTGAGGCCTTGGTTTTTATTATGTTGGAACAATAGAAGTAGCCTTAATGTCTCTGGTCAAGCTCCCACAGAAGCCAGATTTTTAGTTTTAGTTTCCAGCAGTTGCAATTGGGTTCTCAGCAGGGTTGGAAGTAAATCTCTCCCAGTTGCTACACTCTCAGAATTTTCATGATTTTTTTTTTCTGCCTGGGCTACTGGAGTTGCATGTGAAATAATCTGCCTTTTGCCATGGTGTGTTTATGGGATGTTGCTATATTAGAACAGTTAATGAGTAATAGTTACTGTATCTATTATTCTGTTAAGTTTTCCAATACAGTTAAGTTATTCCAATTCCTTCTTACTTTTGTGTATTTTAACTACGTGGATGAATAAAGTGTGTATTGCTCTAAATCCTGTAGTTTGACCAATCGACTTGCATCTGGAATTCAACCTCTTTAAAATGAGAAAAAGTTAGGGTCTTGACTATTTTCTGAATATTTTGAGAGGGTTTGGTCTGGTCTGTAACAGTTTTCTTTAACCAGCAAACGTTGGCAGACTGCTTTATTTTCAAAATTTAAAGACAGGATATCTAAATAACTTGACAGCTTGAGAGCCCCGTAGATTTTATGATCCTTTACAAGCATTAATGTCTACACTAAAAACTCTTGACTCAAACATTGTGCACAACATCCCTGCTTCATGAGGAAAGAGTTCAAATAGGCCTGATGAGGCACATTTGTTTTCTTCCTGACGAAAATAGGATCTATTTGAAATGAGGGTGGGACTTATGGATCTAGGTTCCTGATCCCACTTTGGATACTCTGTGGAGACTTTCTGAAAAGCTAAGCCTTTCTCAGAGCAGAATGATTGTTCTGCTTGCTACATAACATAGTCATCACATTATTTAATGTTTAAGCATTTTATTTTTAACTATTATTTTATGTTTATTTGGACAATACCTGAATAGTCACCCAAAACTTTCCAGGATTACTAGTCTTATTTTATATGCACTGAATTACTTACAGTTAAGATTGATCAAATTGAATATGTTTGCATATAATAGGTATGTGTAGCTTGCTGCACAGAGTATAATAACTTGCTTTGGTTGTAATGAAGACTAAAAAGCAATTTTGTGCAAAGAACAAACATTTGAAGATTACACTTGATGCAGGAGTTTATAGATTCATAGATTCAGAGTCAAACAGCACAGAAACAGACCCTTTGGTCCAACTCATTCAAGTTTCCCAAACTAAATTAGTGCCATTTGCCTGTAATTTGGCTCATATCCCTCTAAACATTTCCTATTCATGTACCTGTCAAAATGCATTTTAAATATAGTAACCGTACCTGCATCCACCACTTCCGCTGGCAGTTCATTACAAAACTCCCTGGACAATAATATTCCATAATTTCTCATTTTAAACCCAAACATTTATTTTCCACTTCTTCCTCCAAAGTCTCTGATTTAAATAAAGATGTACAGAAAGCTCCAGGCATGGGGAAATTGCCCAGCAGTAATTTCAACTTCCCGAACAATTCCTCCAGAGTCTGCTATCGTGGAGTTCTTGTGGCTAGAAAATACCAGATCAATTTTAGTCAACAATATGAATTAAATAAGTGTCCATCTCATGCAGAAATCTAACAAATTCACTTTTTCAAGTGACCTCAGTTTATAAAATATAAATATTACATTTCTTTGCACAGTTCAATGAGATGTCTAGTTTTGTAAAGAACACTAACCATGAATTCTTTTGGAAATTTACGTACTTTCTGTAGTGTTTAATGGTTCAATCATTCTGTGCTTGGCTACGCAAGTTCAGTAATTGACCTATGCTCTCTGTGCTTAATTGGTTAAATCTGGATGTTGACTCAGAGAAATACTAGCACAGAGGATATTAGAAGCTGAGCTGGGATAAGCAGAAATACAAATTTTTTGTCTTAATTTTGCAGAATTGGTGAGACTGTACACATGTTTAGAAATGGCGGCTCAGGCCTAATTCTGGGATTCCTGGCCCCACTTGCTGTAACTGAATTTTCGTCAAGGCCGGTTCAGGATATATGCTGCTGTAGATCAAAAACCTGTATCTGGCACTTCTGAGATAGTAGGAACTGCAGATGCTGAAGAATCTGAGATAACAAGGTGTAGATCTGGATGAACACAGCAGGCCAAGCAGCATCAGAGGAGCAGGAAGGCGGACGTTTCGGGCCTAGACCATT